TATATCATAGATATTTTCATACCAACCTGACTCACTGTAACTGCTTTCCAACATCATAACTTTCATATTATCTATGGGATAATTTTCAGTTGAAAACTCTTCTGTTTCGTCATTTTCAACCACATTATTTTGATCCAATGTCTGTGCAGGAAATGACAATTCTGTTTCCTTTGGAATGTTCTGAAAGCTCCAAGGGTTATACAAGAACTTTTTCAGATATGGCAAGGTATCAGAATCATCTGTTTTCTCTAAGACTCTTTTCTTATCTATTTGATCTTCTGTTTCCATAATCTTTATCATTTGTATTTCTTGTTCCTTATAAGGGTCAAATTCACTTGCTGTAGGATACTCACGTTTATCTCCTCCACCATCTTCTTTATTTTTTCCATCATCTGATATAATTTTATCTTCATTGGCATAGGCAAAGCCCAGTATACGAAAACCAAAATCAAACCAACTTGGCTTGAGAATTGAGCTGTCATTTGTGATTATATCTGGTTTTTCTGTTAATATTTCTGTACATGGAACTGTGGCTTCTTCATCAGATGATATGGAATTCGGAACATCTTGTAGTGGTGGATTGCCTTCTTTGGACAATAATTCAAGCTCCGTATCCTCATCTCCAAACCCTTCTTCATCAGATGATATGGAATTGGGAACATCTTGTAGTGGTGGATTGCTTTCTTTGGACAATAGTTCAAGCTCCGTATCCTCATCTCCAAACCCTTCTTCATCAGATGACATGGAATTCGGAACATCTTGTAGTAGTGGATTGCCTTCTTTGGACAATAATTCAAGCTCCGTATCCTCATCTCCAAAACCTTCTTCATCAGATGATATGGAATTGGGAACATCTTGTAGTGGTGGATTGCTTTCTTTGGACAATAATTCAAGCTCTGTATCCTCATCTCCAAACCCTAAATAACTTGTAAATCCACCACCAAACCAACCAGTGGCTTGAGGTTTAAGAATGTGCTCTGACTCAGAGGCTAGTTCAGACTGTTTCTTTGGCACTGAATCAAGTTCTGATCCAGGTTCTTTCTTTTGTTCTGTTTGGTGCATACCATTATTTAATTCCTCTAGGTCATTCTTATCTTCCACTGCTATTTTTCTGCTGTGAAATGAGCTTTCTTGTACAGGTTCAATGACTGATTCAAAAGCCTTCTCTTCAGCTTGTTCACTTCCCAATCCAAACCATCCTGTCACTTCAGGCACAGCTGAGGATGGTGGGACATGATCCTCTTCTGGAATATGATCCTGTTCCACTCTTTCAGCTTCTACTTCTTCCCAGTCTTTTGATTCACTGGTACTTCTGATATCTTCAGGAGCCTCTGATGCTGGGAATTGGTCTTCAAACAAAGTACTTCCAGAAGTTGCATAAAATCCAGATTCTATCTGAAAATCATTTTCATATTTACTAAATTTTTGATCTTTATTTTCTTCATATGTGTATATATTTTCACCATTATCACTGTTTAACTCACTATCTTCATTTTCAAATGTGTAGCTTGCTCCAAGAAGACAAAGAAAGTCAGATTCCTAAAAGGAAAAAAATATGATTGACATAAATGCACTAAAGCTCCTTGTTTCTTCCTGAGTTATTTAAAATGAATTACTATGATTTTCCCAAGACCACACAACTAGCTCAACAGCAGAGCAAAAACCGAAATCAAATCTTCTAATCTCAAACACTTGTATCACAACTGACTTCTAGAGGTTAATGATCTAAACCTAAATGAAAATAAAACTCCTTTTTCATTATGGTTTATTTGTTATTAAATAGTTGCAAAATCTGAGAAGCAGAGACAATCAATGCTTTGATTTGCAAATAAACTCTGATGAAAAGGCATGCATATCTACAAAATCTTATACCTCCTGAGAGTATACTGACTTGGCACATGTATCTGTATAGTGATTTGAGGAAGGTGCTATGGCTTGAATATGTCCTCAAAAACTATGTGTTGGAAACTGGATACCCACTACAACAGTGTTGGGAAGTGAGACCTAATGGGAGGTGATTAGGCCATAAGGACAGAGCAAATGGATTAATTCCATTATTGTAGAAGTGGGCTCAGTATCACAGGAATGGGTTCCTTATTAAAGGATGAGTTCAGCCCCCTCCTGCTCTTTCTCTCTCTTGTCATCTTGCCTTCTTCTACCATGGGATAACACAGCAAGAAGCCCCTCATCAGAAGCTAGCGCCTTGATATTGGACTTCCCAGCCTTCAGAACTGTGAGAAATAAATTCTTTTCTTTATGAGTTATCCAGTCTCTGGTATTCTCTTATAGCAGCACAAATGAACTAAGGCAGAGGGAAATTACACAGAATATGGTTACAGCTCAAACAGACCAGAGACTCTAAACCATGAAGACTCGATTAAAGATTGCACTAAAACATTTAGACTTCTTTTATTGAGATGTTGCATACAGCCAATGGAAGTGGGGATCTTCTTGCTCTTCTCACAGAATAAGCAAATTATTAAGAAGAAAAATGATGAAGACACACTTTTTTAATCTAAAGGTCATAAATAGTGATATGTGCTGCTTTTTGGACATTACCATTATGAAATGAGAATAAAGTTCAGGGTTTTAAAAACTAAACTTCAGAATTGCAATTTTATAGTATGTGTTTGGCACTGCAATCTAGTGAGTGATTAAGAACACTCTGGAGTCAAACCTTTGGGTTCAACTCCTGACCCTGCCATTTACTAACTCTGTGACCTTGGGTAAATTATACAACCTTTCTATGCCTCAGTCTCCTCATCTGTAAAATGGGGATAATGACAGAGCCTACTTTATAGGGGTGTTCTGAGGATTAAATGAGACAAGTACTTAGAATATTAACTGTTTCTAGTAAACACTAGCTTAGCCCAGTCCAAAGTTACACTACCGCAGAGGCAGCCAGTATTATAGTGGTAAAAGGCTGAACCCTCTTGTCTTAGGACAACTCTGAAGGGCCATCCTAACTTCAGGGCTTCTTATGGAATGAACGGAGACTTTGTAGCAACTGCATCACAGTTCAACTTCTCAGTCTGCGCAATTGTGCTTTTTCTTTTGTTTCCTCACAAGTATTATTCCCCAGAGTATTTCTCAGTAAACTTCTTGGATGCAAAGATTCTTCTTGGTGTCTCTTTCCCAGGGAACTTATTATTTATTTATTTTTATGACAGCTGAGGGCTAAGGGACCAGGGAACTTGACATAAGAATGTGAGGCATCTGTGTGCTTACTACGTGCCTGTGCCGTACTAGGTGCCGGGATTCTACAGTAATGAACAGCAAAAACTAATTGTAGGCTGGGCGAGGTGGCTCGTGCCTATAATCCCACACTTTGGGAGCCTGAGGGGGGAGGATCACTTAAGCTGAGGAGTTTGAGGTTGCAGTGAGCACTGATGATGTCACTGCACTCTAGCCTGGGCAACAGAGCAAGACACTGTCTCAAAAAAAAAAAAAAAGAAGAAGAAAATAAAGAAAGAAAAAGAAAAAAATATAATTGTAAATTGCAGTAAGTGCTACAGAGGAAAGAAACAAGAAGCTGTGCTTAAGAAGCAATAATTTAGGCCGGGCGCGGTGGCTCACGCCTGTAATCCTAGCACTCTGGGAGGCCGAGGCGGGTGGATCACTCAAGGTCAGGAGTTCGAGACCAGCCTGAGCAAGAGCGAGACCCCCGTCTCTACTAAAAATAGAAAGAAATTAATTGGACAGCTAAAAATATATAGAAAAAATTAGCTGGGCATGGTGGCGCGTGCCTGTAGTCCCAGCTACCTGGGAGGCTGAAGCAGGAGGATCTCTTCAGCCCAGGAGTTTGAGGTTGCTGTGAGCTAGGGTGATGCCATGGCACTCTAGCCTGGGCAACAGAATGAGACTCTGTCTCAAAAAAAAAAAAAAAGAGGCAATAATTTCTTTAGAGTCATCATGTAAGGCCTCTCAGAGGCACTTACTTTTACTTTTAATTTGCAAATCAGAATACTTTTTTCCACTTTATTGACGTATAATTTGGTATACAAAAAACTACACGGGCAGAGCATGGTGGTTCATGCCTGTAATCCTAGCACTTTGGGAGGCTGAGGTGGGAGGATCGTTTGAGCCCAGAAGTTTGAGGCCGCAGTGAGCTATGATGATGCCACTGCACTTTAACCTGGGCAACAGAGCAAGATCCTGTCTCAAAAAAAAAAAAATTGCACATAATTAATGTATATAATTTGATGAGTTTGGACAAATGTATACAATGGTGTTACCATCACCACAATCCAGGTGATAAACAAATCCATTGCTTCTAGAAATTTTCTAGGAGGCACTGATGTTTAAGCTGTGGCCTAAAACATTAAAACATAAGAAAGAACTAGCCCAAGTGAAGAACTTGGGGAAAACATTCCAACCAGAAGAAATAGCCTGTTTAGATCCCTGGGCTGGGAAAGAGCTCTGCCTATTCTAAGAACAGTCCAAAGGCCAGTTTGATCAGGAGCACATGAGTGAGGGGAGAGTGGCAGGAGACAGGGTTAGCAAAGTGGCAGGAGCAGATCATGTGGGCCTGTGAGGCCAGGGTAAGGAGTTTGGGCTTTATTCCAGGTCCAGTGAAAACCCATTAAAAGTTTTTAACCAAAGCAATGACATGATCTAATTTTTTGTTTTTATTTTAGCTTTCACAAGATCCATTGCTGTTTGGAGAAAGGGTTAGAAGAGGGCAAAAGTAGAGCCAAGGAGAACAGTTAGAAGGCTATTGTACTATTCTAATCAAGAGTCGATGGTGCTTTGGCTATGGTGAGAGTGGAAATGAAGATTAGAAAATATACTCCAGCTATATCTTAGAGATAGAACTGACTGTACCAATTATTATACAGTAAATGGACAGCTAATCCCAGAGTTTGTGCTGGGAAAGAGCCAGGATATAGACAGTTTGTTTAACTAGACAGACTGGCTTCACACTGACCTCATTTAAGGTAAGTTGGCTTAACCTGGAATCTGAATTAAATGGGCTATTCAAATGGCTATTCAAATTCATATATTGAAAAGTCCCCTTTCTTAGATTCCTTTTCTTATTATCAAGCCCAACATTATCAAGCTCATTAAAAACTCCAACAGCAAAAGAGGTTGTATAGACATGAGACCTAGGGAAACTAGGGGAAATAAACTTGGTCCTGTAGGACAATAACATTAGTAATAATATCTAACACACAGCACTTACTAAGTGCTGTTCTATCTACATCATATATACTCATTTATTCCTCAATAAATTTGAGGTAGCACTATCTTACATTCAACACCCCCATTTTACAGATGAGGAAATTGAGTCATACCAGGCTAGTAAATGGCTGAGTCTGGCTTTGAACTCAGTCCATCTCCAGAATCCATGCTCCTAACCACTAGACTCTACTCCTAGTCTGTTAATTGTTCAGAAAGCATCAATTTTGTCTTACCTAATTTTATTCACATACTCAAACTATTCCTAGTGTAAATTCTCAGACCAACTATTTTATTAATTTACTATACAAGGTACATAACCAATGGACATTTACACCAAGGAAAACAGTTTAAGCCAATACATTTTAAACTCAATTAATAACTGAGAATGAATTTACTCACTTTAGTTGATATTTGAACTTCCTCAGATATAAACACCTCTTCAAGCTGGACTGCATCTCTGGGAAAATATCCAAAGTCCTTCCCTTTCTATCAGAATGATGAACAAAGATTATCAAGGAAGAGAGATCAAAACAATAATAACTCTTGAGCCTAATTTGGTTCCTCTGTCCTTGGTTTTTACCTACTCCAAATCACAAACTTTAATTGACTATCAATTGCCATCTAAAAGAAAGTGAGTGAAATCATGTTCTTTTGTTATTCAAAAGAACAGCATTAATTTAAGGGAACAAAGAGCCAAACTGTAAAATGCCACTGTTTCAAACTTCAGAAGGAAAACCAGTCCACCTACTCATTTTCTTCTTTTTACTGTTCTTTATGGCCTTCCTTGTCCAGGTGAACCACAGACTACACCAGTTGAACAGGAATATCAAGAGGCCAGGCAATGGCAGCAGTAGCCAAGCTAGATGGAGCTGTGACATATTCAATGGTTTCAGGATGTTAAAATCAGATAAGAGGTTTAAACTCTAAAAGGCCACAGATGGATTCATCAAGATAGTAAATGTCCACCAGTCCTCTAGGGAGGGTTTGGTTCCATTCACTTTTCTGGGGCTACCTTAGTAACAAACATCCTCTTTTTTTGTTTTTTTTTTTTTGAAACAAGAGTCTGGCTCTGTTGCCCAGGCTAGAGTGCCATGGTGTCAGCCTAGCTCACAGCAACCTCCAACTCCTAGGCTCAAGCGATCCTCCTGCCTCAGCCTCCTGAGTAGCCGGACTACAGGCACAAGCCACCACACCCGGCTAATTTTTTGTTTCTACTTTTAGTAGAGATGGGGTCTCTCTCTTGCTCAGACTGGTCTCAAACTCCTGACCTCAAACAATCCACCCTCCTCGGCCTCCCACAGTGCTAGGATTAAGGCGACCGCACCTGGCCACAAACGTCCTCTTAACCCAGTTCAAACACACCCAGAATGTCTCCTGAGAGTGAAGACTTCACATAACCACTTTCAATTTCCTATCCCTGTTAACATTTTTTATCATAGCTCACTGTAACCTCAAACTATTGGGCTCAAAGTGGTCCTCCTGCCTCAGTCTCCCAAGTAGCCAGGACCCTAGGCACGTGCCACCACACTCAGCTAATTTTTTTTTCTTTTTAATCACTTTTTAAGACTAGTCAAGTGCAGTAGTGAGGAGGGAGGAAAGTAGTAGAACAAGGAGTTCAATCTGTAACTGACTGTGAACAATCTAATGAGATAACTCACTACCTTCGGACCAGTCTAATTTTTGAAAGTTTTTATAGAGACGAGGGTCTCTCTGCATTGTCCAGGCTGGTCTCAAACTTCTGGCCTCAAGTGATCCTCCCACCTTGGCCTCCCAAAGTGCTGGGATTACAGGTGTGAGCCACCACCCCAGCCCCCTGTTAAATTTTAAAGAACATTTTAGTCCTCTGATCCAGCACCATTATACCTCAATTGCAATTCTTCCAACTCCCCAGTTGCTACAACTATTTGGAAACTAACAGCCTGTGGGTCCTCAGTATGGTTCCTTAAACAGCTATCCGCAGGAACTTAAATACCAAATGCGCAAAGCTAAGGGTGCCTGAAACTTCACCCTGGCTCCACACATTAAACACTGCTTTTGTGTGAAACTATTATTTTACACATAGCAAACAAGAAAGAATGCTTTCTTTGCTTCTTATGACACCTACTGTATCATTTTTCTTACAGCTGAATGGGATGCCTCCAATGCATATAAGACAGAGACTGGCATTATTTGTAAAGTGCCCTATGCAGTAAGGAAACTTGGGAGTTGTAGAAGCCAGGCAAACAATTCTGACCAGTGACAATCAGAAGTTCAACACAGTCCCTGATGGGAAAAGCAGGATTTCATATAGAATCTGCTCCTTCAAATAGTGACCACAGAGGCTACACAAGGGAGATCTGATGCACAGGTGATATGGGAATGATGTATGTATCAGGTTGGCCACGCTTGTTCAGCCTGGAACTAAATTACTTCTCATAACGTCTTTTCATTATAAACAAATAGTGATACAATCCAATACATAAACCTTTTCTAACTGAAAACATTAATCATTAATTTTCCTATGTTGTATATTCAGAGATGATTCAAGCTTCTAGGAATCTCAGTGTACTAGGACTTTGGGCCAAATAAAGGTTTCTCCCAGTTGTTATTTTTTTCCATGAAAAATTCATATGCCTAGCTTCCCTAGGCTACCAACCTTCCTGAGGATCTCTTGAATAATAACTCAGCTTTTGACTTGCTCAGGAAAACATGTCTTTTAATCTGATTAACTAAAACATCCAAATCTCTCCAAAACTTGACCATTTGCAGCACCAAAATATGGCTGGGGCTGACTAGCCATCCCATAATTTCCATCAGCACCCCTAAAGTCTCTCCAAATATATTTTAAAAATCTAATTTTAAAAACTATGTATTCTGGGCTGGGTGCGGTGGCTCACGCCTGTAATCCTAGCACTCTGGGAGGCCAAGGCGGGAGGATCACTTGAGATGGGGAGTTTGAGGTGGCAGTGAGCTATGATGGCACCACTGCACTCCAGCCTGGGCGACAGACCGAAACCCAGTCTTAAAAACAACAACAATAAAAACGCATGCTATGTAAAAATAGTTTCCGGGCATTCTCTTAGCCCAACCAGACTACCTTCCCAAAAGCCTCTTTTACAGAAATTTTGGAACCACCACTGAACACGAGCATTTTTTTGTTTGTTTAAATATGGTAAGGGTTTTTAATATTTATACAGTGCTTTGAAATTCTTAAAGTTACCTTAAAGATGATAAGCCAGTATCCTTGTGCAAGTTGGTCATTTATTTTGCATTCAATTTTTAAAACTAGATACTTACACTTCCCGCCCACAAATCTTCCCTTTCTCCTGCAAGTTTAACATAAACAGATATCTCTTCTCCTTTAGTGAAGTTCAGGTATCGGCAGTCAGGTCCTCTGTAATCTCTCGTGGCTGAGACTCTGCTCATTAAAGCTATGTGAACATGTAAAGAAAAACTTACACACTTTAGATTAAAATATTATTTCTGCTCCTTCCATCTTGCCCTTCTCCAATCCATCCTACATATTAATATTTCCAAATGCTAATTTCTTTATATCATTTATGGCCTCAAAAGCCTATATACACTTCCCACTGCACACAGAATCTAAGCTAAGCTTTTAGGCTTGGTATCCAAGGCTTTCCGTAACCTTGTCCCCTTTCCCTATTTAAAAGGATCACCTTGCTGGGCTGGCACCTATAATCCTAGCACTTTGGGAGGTCAAGGCGAGACGATAGATTGAGGCCAGAAGTTTGAGACCAACCCAGGCAACACAGTAAGACTCTGTATCCACAAAAAATTTAAAAATTAGCCGGGCGTGATGGCTCGTGCCTGTAGTCCTACCTATTTGAGAGGCTGAGGTGGAAGGATTCCTAGAGCCCAGAAATTTAAGGTTGCAGTGAGCTATGACGATGCCACTGCACTCTAGCTGGGGCAACAGAGTGAGACTCTGTCTTTAAAAAAATAATAAAATAGCGGTGGCTCACGCCTGTAATCCTAGCTCTCTGGGAGGCCAAGGCGGGCGGATTGTTTGAGCTCAGGAGTTCGAAACCAGCCTGAGCAAGAGCGAGATCCCGTCTCTACTAAAATTAGAAAGAAATTAATTGGACAACTAAAATTACATAGAAAAAACTAGCCAGGCATGGTGGCGCATGCCTGTAGTCCCAGCTACCTGGGAGGCTGAGGCAGGAGGATCGCTTGAGCCCAGGAGTTTGAGGTTGCTGTGAGCTAGGCTGACGCCACGGCACTCACTCTAGCCTGGGCAACACAATGAGACTCTGTCTCAAAGAAAAAAATAAATAAATAAAAGAAAAGAAAAGAAAAGAAAATGACCTCCTCCTATTCCTATTCTTACACCTATTCCTTTACACAGACTCAGGGCTATAATCAAGCTTGTTTATCAATTGTCCCTGGAATATGTCATTATCATTCTCTAGTCTATAGGGAAGGAAAAGATAATCAGTTTTCTTTCTGCCACCTAGTATATTCTAAGTATTATGATAAGCACGTTCATATTTTTATTTTATTAAATCCTCAAAACAGATCTATGAGATAAATAGTTTCATCTCAGTCTAACAAATGAGCTTTCAGCTAAGGCTCAGAGGGCTGGTCACACAGTTCTGGTGGAGCCCAATTTACACTGAGGTTCTTTTCACTGCAACATCCCCTTCCTTTTTCTGAGATTTTCTTTCTGCTCTCTCCTCAGCCTAGAAACCCTTCTGTCTCTCTTCATGCTTACCTCATGTCCTACTTCCTCTATGGGGCATCCTAACCATTTCAGCTTACTCCGATTGCCACTGCTCTCAATTTCAATATTACCTGTTATCCTTACTACATTGTATGACTGCTTACGGCTTAATATTTACCTGTCTTGTCATCATTCACTGGAATAAAAATTCCTGAAGGGCAAGAAACTTATCTTACATTTCATTTTATTCCTCTTAGATGCACAGCACACACTCACCCACCAGACCCAGCCCACAGTAGGCCAATAACTGAGAATGAATCATAGCCTCATATGCTAGATTCAGCTCGCCAATACACAAAGTAATATACATGCCATATTAGCTACTATAATTACACTAATGTGTAAAATAAAATGTTTTTATTAAGTCATGCAATTACAGTTAAAACAACATTATAAATTACTATAAATTTGAGTGTTCCTTTTCATGTTCTGCATCTGGCTCTAAGGATACTAAAATGAGGTTGAAATGCAGAGAAACAGAAAGATTATTGTTATTATAAAATATCATCTAGTAAACTTCTCCCCATATTAAATTACATATCCAAAATATTAAAGAAAGTGCTTACTCATAAAACTGTTACTTATAAATTATTTATGTTTATACTAATAATATTTTGCATTTTTAATTTACATGTTACAAATTAGAAATAATTTTCACATACTGGAATGACAGAATTTATTTAAAGCAACTCCAACATATTGGGATGCAATTTATTTTGCACCATAATGCTAATAACAGAAAATAAATTAAGTTTTTAAAGGGTAGAAGGGAAGGCCGGTGTGGTAGCTCATGCCTGTAATCCTAGCACTTTGGGAGGCTAAGGCCAGAGGATCTCTTGAGCTCAGGAGTTTGATACCAGCCTGAGCAAGAGTGAGACCCCGTCTCTACTAAAAATAGAAAAAATTAGCCAGGCGCAGTGGCACGAGCCTGTAGTCCCAGCTACTCTGGAGGCTGAGGCAGGAGGATCGCTTGAGCCCAGGAGTCTGAGATTGCAGTGAGCTATGATGATGCCACTGCACTCTACCCAGGGTGACAGATGGAAACTCTGTCTCGAAAAAAAACAAAAAACCACAATAGAATGAAAATTAATTTCTCTTTATAGTAGATAAAGGGAGATTTATATTCAGTGATATAAATAAAAATTATATTTGTATTCTAACAGTGATTTCAGTATTTTTACATAATAAACATAGAAATGATTAACATTTGCTAAAGTTTAGACAGAATAAATCATGATGGTTTGAAATAAAAACATTTTTTAGAAAACTCATGAAAATCAGAAAGTTCTGATTATGAAATGGAAACTAAAAGTAGAAGGACTTCCATAAATAAAGAACTATCAAATGGCTTGATGTCTTTTGTTGTATGAATCAATTGTATTTATGTTTAAAAAATAGTGAAAGGGCTGATTAATGTTCTTGAGGTATGGATTAATATTATTATAACTTCTGATATATTTCTTTCTATATCAGGCTGATCTTTGCCCTTTGTATTTTTATATTAGATACTATTACAAAATGCTTTGCTTCCACCATTTCTTTTTTATAACAAGCTACACTTTATAATTCTAAAAATTCTCAATGATATTAATGATCATTTTTATCACGCATGTCCAGAATAACATTTTATGTCATTTCAGAAGCTCAATTTAAGAGAAGAAGGAGGGGAAAAAAGCAAACTTACTTTCACATTCCAAGTCACCACATTTTTTAAGGTCTGCCAGCAGTTTTGTACCCTCCAGACACTTTGTCAGGGAAATAACCAAAAGAAGGATTCGGTGAACTTCAAGCTCCGCCATGCTAAAACAAGTGACCAGGAATCCCAAACGAAGTTTAAACCAATTGTCGAGGTTGTGGATATGCCAGTCAAAACAAGAGATATTCTACTCTCTTCACTAAATATAAGAGAAAAAGGTTTGAAGTTTTTTAAATCCCTTGATAACTACATTTTTCCATTGGCATACAGGTTTAATTTGAGGGACAAACACTCTCTGTTCTCAATCTGCAGTGTCAGGAATCCAAATAATACATAAGAGTTTAATAATTAACAAGGATTTTTAGTTGGACTAATGTCCCATGAAGATAGCCCGTGTAAAACTGTCTCACTTAAAGGCAGCTTGCATTTCACAGGGCAGACCTGAAACAGGCCTCCACAAAAAGGTAGTTACTTTCTGTTAAAATCTCCAGGTAGATTGATCAACAAGTACAAACCAAGTATTTGCTACATACAAATACCAGCTTCAATGGAGAAAGTATATAGTTATATGTAGGAACAGTAATAATTTATATTAAAAGTATGATTTGAAATATCATAATGAAAACTATTTGAAAAAATATTCCACTTTCATATTTAAAAACTCTTTATTGTTACTATGAAGTTAAACCTTACTGTATTTAGTTAGGAATAATCACTAAAATGTAATGAGTACTTACTATATTCCAGGTATTGTCTTAAGTACTTAAATATCTGATTTGATTTAATCTTCACACCAGCTCTCCATGGTAGGTAATATTATTCTTTGCTTCTCAGGCTGGTCTTGAACTCCTGGCTTCAAGCCCTCCTTTGTCCTCGGCCTCCCAAAGTGCTAGGATAACAGGTATGGGCCACCACACCCAGCCTGATTTTTTTAAAAAGTAAGCCAGACAATACAGAAAACTACAGAGAAGAAAGTGAATACCACCTGAAATTACATTGTATACTCCCACCGTATGGGGCAGCATTTTTATTTTTTCAGACATCTCTCTCCCTCTCTCTCTCTCCCTCTCTCTCTCTCTCTCTCTCTCTCTCTCTCTCACACACACACACACACAAACGCACACACACACTCTTTGCATATGAGGAAACTGAGGTGCACAGAGGTGGTTTAAATCACTTACCCAATGTCACATGGTGAGAGGAGAAGAAATCTAAACCTAGGCACTGTGACAGCCCACACTTGTAGCCACTGTGATTTACCATCAAAAATCAAGTCATCTGCCAAGGAAAGATACCTACCCTGCAACAATACTACTCCAGAAACAGCAGATAGAATATACTCCGTGTACTAAAAATTGTATGCATATTCCTATAAATGGAGAGAGAATGTGTGTGTATATGTGTGTGTGTGTGTGTGTGTGTGTGAGAGAGAGAGAGAGAGAGAGAGAGAGAGAGAGAGGGAGGGAGAGAGGAAGAGGGAGAGAGATGTCTGAAAAAATAAAAATGCTGCCCCATACGGTGGGAGTATACAATGTAATTTCAGGTGGTATTCACTTTCTTCTCTGTAGTTTTCTGTATTGTCTGGCTTACTTTTTTAAAAAATCAGGCCGGGTGCGGTGGCCCATACCTGTTATCCTAGCACTTTGGGAGGCCGAGGACGAAGGAGGGCTTGAAGCCAGGAGTTCGAGATCAGCCTGAATAACATAACAAGATCCTGTCACTACAAAAAAAAAAAAAAATAGAAAAATCAGCCCGATGTGGTGTGCATGCCTGTAGTTCCAGCTACTTGGAAGGCTGAGGCAGGAGGATGGCTTGAGCCCAGGAGTTTGAGCCGTGAGCTATGATGACACCACTGCAGTCTAGCCAGGGTGACAGAGCAAGACTCTGTCTCAAAAATTATAAAATAAAAAAATAAAATAAAATAATAAATAGTTATGAAAATCAAGTCATTTGAACATTGCCATTGCTCAAAAAGGATCAAAGCCCCATACTGGGATTTTTTTGGTAAAACACTAGATCTCAGTAGAATTTTGGAAACTACAGTTGTCCTATTTCAATCTTGTTAAATATTTTTCTAAGCCTTTCTTTGCTGTGCCTTTTCACTGTATTTGGGCATGCCAGGGTACATACAGTGTATAGGTTCAGAACCCAGCACTTGTATAACACCACACTCTCCTCTAGTGCCTGCCACAAATAAGACAAATACTCAGCACCTGAGTAAGCTAAAGTGACAGACTTTTGCTTTGAAGGTCCTAATTAAAGGATGTTTGTTTGCTTGCTTTCCAAAAACTATAGCAGTAGGAAGCCTGCTCTCTCAGAGCTAAGATTTTTACAAAAGAATCTGATAGAGCGTGCACTTGAGGATCATTTGGCTTGCAACAGAGCACTGCATAGTTGTATGCATGCACACACAAAAAGGTGTAGGTTAGTCTCTTGAATACCTTTACAAATCTATAAGCTATGTTTTCAAAGACATTTAAAGAAGGATCAGCTCTTCAGCTTCAAAATTTGGTGCCGGGTTATTTTTAAAATTTATATCACCATATCCAATATTAAATCAAGAACATTTAGTAATTAATGTAGTTTAACTATCCATGTGTTGTATTCAAAATTAATGACATTATAGAGAAATTCAGAAGTAATTAATTTAATCATTTTTTAGGTTAAGTACGACAAGAGCCTAGCAAAATTTAAATTTGTCTATTGATTGACCTGAGGGTGATTTGAGTCAATAAAAATTCTTGCCTAAGATACCAGCCTGGAGAGATTTGCTCCCACTAGAAATGCTCCCACACTCTTGCTACTTAATGCACTCAGATGATCTCATTTTATGTTCAGATCATTATTTAAATATGATTTAACAAGTTATCTGAAAATGTGATAGCATAATGTTGATTAACTGTCCCTAACAGAGCCACGTGAAGAGATGGTACATGTGAAAGGGACAAGAACGTTTAGTGAAAAGAAACCAAAGTGTGATTTTTCACTATAAAAAACAGTCATATTAACTAAGGCAGATATTCCCTAATTGTAGATGCATTTTGCAGGTTAAACATATCAATAGTCATCAAATATAATGCTAATACTGAGGAAGGTGTCATGGTAACATTAATCAGCCAGGAATACTAATTTGGAAGGCCTACAGCATTCTTTATAAACCATACGGGAGGTAAGAGTACCTACTGCGTAAAGCTGAAGGATGAATCATCAAAGCCATATGTGTTCAGTAACTTAGAGATAAAATCACAGGACAACCCTTTCCATGAGAATATAAAGACAGAATCATGAATGTTGCATTTCTGCTTGATGATGTTATTTCTGATACTACATAGTGTTCTCTTTTAGCACCTTAGATTTTCTAAAGTGGGAACATATTTCCTTCAACCATCTGGCTGTTACTCTGGCAGCTTATAGGACAGGGAAATTTGCTGGAAGGTGACTCACACCTGTAATCCCAGCACTTTGGGAGGCTGAGGCAGGAGAACCACTTGAGGCCATGAGTTCAAGACCAGCCTGGGCAATACAGAGACCCCCCATCGCTACCAAAAAAAAAAAAAAATAGCAGGGCATGGTAGTGCATACCTGTAATCCCAGTTACTCGGGAGGTTAAGGTGGGAGGACGACTTGAGGCTAGAAGTTCAAGGTTGTAGTGTGCTACCATCACACCACTGCACTCCAGCCTGGTGACAGAGCGAGCCCCTATCTCAAATAAATAAATAAATAAATAAGAAAGAGAAATTTAACTCAAAGTTACTTGGGATAAGCATAACTGATTAAGTTAGGGTAGAGCCCTTGGAAACAGTTGCTGTGGTAGACCGGTGTAAAGTAAGACAAGGCCCAGGAGAGACTGAGATTCAAACTTGTGTGGAAGATGTGCAGACGGCCCCCCACATCCCCTCTCCAAGGAAGGACTTTCTGCCCAGCTACAGGGAGGGCAGCAGTTAGCAGACAGCCTCTGCTGGCAGATATGTCGGGGTCTGCCTCAGCTGCAGAGATCCACCTTACCCAAGACCACCCCAACCTGGGTGATCTAGTGAGTCTAGTGAATAAACAAGGGGGTACAAAGGCAGGATCATTTCAACCTAATGTGGAACAACCACATTTCTCATCCAGGGCTTCCTTTTGGGTTGACCGAGGCTTTGTAGGGAATTGCATTGTAATTTGGCTTTCCCCTCTGCCCAATCCTGCTATCGCCCTCTTCCTTTCACAGGTGTTGATCGCTTGAATCCCAAACTCCCATCTCATCATCTGCCTCTAGGGGACTCAACCTCATAAGCTGGCGATCCATAGGCACAAAAAGAGGAGGCGGTGGAACATGCACATTTTGATCCACCATTTGTGCTAGTCACGCCATGGCTACTCTTATGTTTGTTGTTTTTGTGTTGCTGAAGGCCATGTTGTAATTCTACCTACTTCTTCTCATTCTATCTGAATCAGTGCGTTCTGCCAGGAAACAGATGGACATTCAATTTTGAGGGGATGGCACTTCTCAATGATCGAGGAGTATTTAATGAAAAGACTACTCACAAAAGTGTGGGCAGGGTTAAAGGAAATCAACAAGGGATGTAACATCCCCAGGCATGAAGGAGTGGTGACTGCTGCCTGGAGAGAACTATAGGAGAGGGCTGCCCAACAGGAACTTGAAGTCTTCTGTAAAGGAACTCAGTCAAAAGGACCTCATTCTGCTTCCACCTTCTGATCTGATGGTGCTTCCCACTGACCAAAGCCAGCAAAAGGCTAGCAAATAAGGGATCACTTTGAAGATGTTTTCAAGATCCATGTTTCTTGGACACAGAGTAGAATGGCAAAAAGTGAAGAGTGGATTAGGAGAAGCAAAAAAAAAAATACCCCACACAATGTCATTATTCCTTCACTGGGTGTTTTAGGTAATAGTATGCAACATTCTCTATATCCAAGATAGTATGTGTGTAATATTTGCTAATCAGGGAAACGGGATTGATTAATCTCATCAATAGCTAGGAAAGGAAATTAATGTTTGTTGAGCACCAACTTTGAACCAGTGAGCTTAATATTTCACATACAAATCTCACCTTTCAGGGTAGGTTTTATTTTTTGAATGCCCATGATGTGTCAGGCTCTCCGCTAGGGACTGGAGATAGAGGAGTAAACAAGGACAAAGTCCTTGCTTTCATGAACCTTGCATGCTAATAAGAGACAGATGAGAACAAGTAAACAAATGAACAAGATAACTTCAAGTGGTGATAAGGTATTATGGAGAAAATTGTCTGCTAGGTAAGGTTGTCAGGGAAAGCATCTCTGAAGGATGACATTAGACTTA